AGTATTTTTGAGTGTACAGGGGCACAGATTGGACCTACAGTTGTCGATTCCCGGCAGAGGTGTAGTGAATTTGTGTCCGTCTTCAACCATGTCCAGAATGGCAATGTGGGCCTTTGTTCCCGGGTGCAAAACAGCCAGTACCTAAACTTAACATCTCTCGTACATCTAATGCCAAGTTTATCTTTACCTCCACGTCATCCATACTCCTTTCTGGCGTGGTGCTTTTCATACGGGAAACCTTATCTCTACTTGGTAGAGTATTGTTAAATCATTGTTTATGTAGTCATTTTTAAAAGTAAGGCTCAAATAAACCAATAAAGAGGTTCGGCGTCGCCCGGTCACAGAACTTTCGAACATCAATGCCGGTACTGGAGTTTTTGTTGTGCAACATATTTTGATGACTGCCAAGTAATTGTTGCGATGTGAGAAGAATAACAGCATAGATTAATTTCATTTTACAAACATGCCAAGTGGTCGCGATAAAGTTTGTCGTCGCAACCGGTGCTGTCATTCAGGCCATCTGCTGGCATTTGACGTATGCAGGAAGTTTGAGGGTGTTTCCTGGTAACAGCGAGAGGAGACATTTCGATTAGTCATCGTGACCAGGATATCCCAGGAATGCAGTTTCTTTCTCTAATACGTACTGTTCTTCCAAGCATTAATTTATGTCATATCAGGGAATAGTGAGACCACGTAGCAGAGACTGACATCAACAAAACTTAAAAGGCAAAGTATCAAATATTCCTTTAAATAGAGTTTTCTCTGTAAGCTGACATCAGACTGCAAGTTCGTGTATTTTGATCAAGTTTCAACCAATTTTCTACTTATTTTCAGAACAGGGCGTGACGGTTCGCTTCTTTGAGCCAGTAATGTATTTTCGAATTTTGCGATGAAGGCAGGTGGTACCTTTACTTACCACTGGGTTTTCAGGGGTTAAATAATCATATCCTTTGGTACTGATTACATTGTAATTAGAAATACACATTTTGTGATTATCTCTAATTAAAATGTTTAATTATATGTTTCAACTGTCTTGTGTTTTGTGCACTTCAGTTTCGTTTTAGCATGGTCTTTACCTTATTTTGTTACAATTACAGTTGAAGGTTAATACTGTATTTTTCGTTATTAACAGTAATCTGGCATGTCGCCTTTAGCTTCTCATATCATGTTCAGTACTGCCTAAAGATGGCCATTTCAAGCTGAACCATGTCGTTGAAGTGTTTATAACTGCTTTAATTACAGAAATTTAGTAATAGTACTTGACGTTAATGGTCGTATAAATAGTGTGCTACAGTTACGTGTTCGACTAATGTATAATTTTGTTTCGCAGGAACCACAACATAATGCATAGTTACAAATAGTCAATTTTGCCCATGGGAATGTAACGTACATTCTCGTGCAGAGCGCGCCATAGATATTAGTACACCTCTTCAGGTAAAAGCACGTATCTGCCGGAAAATTCCATGTCTGCTTGTTATTGGTCAAGGCCTCCAGTTCATGATTTCCTTTCCTCATTGATCTACAAACTTCCCACAGTCGGTTAGTAAAGTTGTTGCTCAGTGACGTCACGGCGATGACTGTCTACCTGTTGCAGAGCGATCTGCGTGAGTCAGTGGCTGCTGCACACATCATACTTTTCAGCACGTGACCACCTGATCGTGACCCCGATGTCGCCTTTCATAATCAATGAAAGGTGATTTCCAGGCTGACCCTTCAACACTGGAACAAACAGCTGGTTCAAGCAGGATATGTATAAAAAGGACACCTGTCTCCGCAGACATCAGTTCCCTGACGATGAGGACCGAGACGGTTAGCGAAACGTCAGGTTTTCTTGCGATTACCTGACGCGACCGAAGAATATAAAACTCCTTCCGAGAGGATTGTGACGTAAGAAAATTGCAGACAACAGACACGCGGGTTGCGTCTATCCACAATAGAGGACGAATTCGACTTGGCAATAGAACTTTAACCAAATTCATTTTCTTGAAGTGTTGTGGGAACCTGTCAGAAAAATTCTATGCAGCAGGGTGGAGAGTGGGCTTGTACCGCTGTCAAATTGCAGATGAAGGCTTTCCTCACCCAGCTGTTGTGACTGGCTATTGTATGCCCAGCGAAAGTCGAACTTCGTAAGAAAGGGAATGAACTAGGCTCGAAAGTACGTTGTTGTTTTAACAGCAATGGAAAGGTTTTCGCCTCATTCAGTTTGAGAACACATAATGCCTTGTAGATTATTATCGGTTGGATTTTGATACTGCAGTCTTACAGGGTTTTTTCCCCCATTTGACCAAGACGGTCGCTGCCGAAGTTTTGGAAACTGGTGAGATTTCAGGTTATCACAGCGGCGAATATGAAGTCAATTGTCTTGAGGGCTGTTACATCGTGTAGAAGCTCACCGACGTTTCAGATCTGCTTACTGTCTCTATTACCAGGGCGATCGCACACTCTCGTCTTCTGACTGGACCGAGGAATTGTTTATTGGCACTGTTAAATAGTTATATTTCCACACACGCTGAGCATGAGCTAACGGGATTATTTCTGTATCCTATCACTTAAAGTTCCAGATACAGAAGTAAATTTATATGTTTCGTGGGCTGACATATCCCGTTGTATTTAAATATAACTTTGAAAGTTTTGCCAATTCAGCTTTGTTTTAAAATGTCTGTAAATTATTCTAACCACATCCAAACTGAGGTTAAGAAAACAGTCTAATTTATACCCATAGTCCGTTAATCAGTGACTCTACTTGAATTGTGTACACGAGTCAGGAATTGAAATTGAACAGATGAATCTTCTTATGCGTTCTTTGCGCGTAAAGTGAACGCATGTCAAGTCTGTTTTTCGTAATGTTCAGGCTCGTACACTACTCAGAGGAATAGGAATTTTGGACGGGAGGGATAAGGGTGGTGCGTTGCACTTATTGTTTGTGAATTTCGTTCGTGAGTGTGACGGTTGGTTCAATCAAAACACATTAAACAACAAGCAAATCACTTTCCACAAATCTCTGACGTTGCACACGCCAGAAATTTCTGAAAATACGTACGCGCCTGAACCATGAGACAGTCCCATGTGTTGCTTCACAAGAACAGCTTTCTTACTCTCTGCTGATTATTACATGTTTCGTCGGAAACAGCTAGAAAACATGCATTTTCATGACACATTATGTACAGACAGAAACACTCTCCCATCACTTGAAGAATGTTTGCTGGAAGGCACAGGCCCACTGCACCTCAAATAGCACACCAGTTGACTAATGAGAGGTTAGCATTCCACCTTATGTTTGGTAGACCCAAACCTCGAATATCGGTCAGGAGAATTGCCGTTATGACAGGCGTTTTGTGGTTTTGTTCAGTCCGTACAGGAAGTACCTTGTGTGAAGCATGACTGATTAGCCCGGGCAACACTCTTAAAATAAGAACTCACTGGTACTCCATACAGCATAACCTACCAGATAAAATGCATAGTTGGTCATGTACAAGCTGAATGTTTATCAAATCTAAAACTTCTTGACGATGGTGAAGAGTCATTTGAATAAAAATTTCCTTGGATATTATCCATCGTCTAGTAAAATATAAAACGTAAAACGACGTTTCGGAGATGG